TAACAAGTGCTTGCATAGCATGTGAGAGGTAGTGGGATTGATATTGATGCCTGCATTCTCCAACGCATTGTTCGCAATTCAAGCATATTATTTTTTAATCTTGTTATATATTTCCACGACACAAAACAATGAAGTAGCACTGACCTCCATAGATATGAATTCAGTTCAATTTTATTTTATTCATATAGCCCTTTTAACAATAAACATTGTCACAAAGCAGATTTACAAAAATCTGGAAGTAGATTTATATTTATATCCCCTCTGGCTTGCACACTAGGGATATAAATATAAATCTACATCCAGATTTTTGTAATGCTGCTTTGTGACAATGTCTGTTGTTAGAATTGTTGTCTCATATCATCTCAGAGAGTCTTTCTTTCCACTGTCAGGGAAGAAAAAAACCTGAGAGGAACCAGACTCAAAGGGGAACCCATGCTCTTCATGGTGACACCAAATTGGGATTATAAATCATTAGTCTTCCACAATTGTATACTATAAAGTAAAACAGTTGCCTACTACGTGTGTTGGAAGGATGTTCAGTATGAGCATCACAGTCTTTAATTAGAGCAGCAGTTCTTAGGTACAAGTCTACAGCATTCAGGTAAAATTATCCATATGACATGTGTTTCAAATCCTACATGTCACCACCCTACCTGCCAACAAGGACCCCTGCAGTTACCATATCAGGTCAACCACAAATGATGCCATTGACACAAAGCTGCACACCAACTTGAGCCACCTGGAGAGGAGAAATTCTTACTTGAATGTTGTATGCTAAGTACAGTTTAGCATTCAACACCATCATCCTGGTCAAGCTTGTCACCAAACTGCAGGATCAGGGTCTGAGTATACAACTGTGCAACTGGATAACAGACATCTTGACAGGCAGGCTACAGGTAGTCAGAGTAGGCAACCTTTTATTCTCCATCCTTACCCTCAGCACCGGAGCTCCACAGGGATGCAAAGTCTGCACCCTGCTGTACTCTCTGTTCAGCAATGGTGTTGCACAACATAGTTCCAATACCATCTTGAAGCTTCTGAAGACACTACTGTTGTGCATCTTATATCTGATACAGACAAAATGGCCTACAGAGAGGAGGTAAGAGCACTGGCTGCATGGTGCTCTGACAAAAAACACTCCTAAATATCAGCAAAAAAGGAGATGGTAAGACTACAGGAAGACACAGGTAGGAGGTCATGTACACATTGACAGAGCAGAGATGGAGTGCGTCTCCAGTTTTTAAATGCCTTGTAGTGCATGTCTCCATTGACCTCACATGGTCCCTGCACATTGACACAGTTGTGAGGGCAGCAAAAAACTTCTCTTCTTCCTGCACAAACTGAAGTTCAGCATGGCTCCAGACATCCTCATTAACTTTTACCGATGCACCATGGAGAGTATCCTGAATGGTTGCATCATGATCTAGTACGCAGGCTGTTCAAATAATCACATCATATGAAAGAAACTTCCATCATTACAGGACATCCATGACAAACAGTGCCTGAGCAATGCCTAGAAAATCATAAAGGACAGCAGGTACCCAGGACCCTCCCTGTTTCAATTGTTGCCATCTGGAAAAAGCAACCAAAGTACCCAGCTTTGCACAAACAGAGTTTCGTTTGTTTTTGTTTTTTTTAAATATATAAGCATTGTAAGAGTAGTATTTTACAGCCAAGTAGTAAATACTATATGGTATTCATAGCAAGTTACAATATTAAAATACGTTACAATATCAAAAGTAAAAGATGGTGTACCTTTGAATAAATAATACCTTTTGATGTTGAATAAATAGCCACTTGTATTAATAAAAAACCACTTAAATGAATATGAATGAATTTCACATATTTCAGTCACTCTTATACTCTTATTTTTAATGCGCTAAAACTAAATGTAAAGACTCTATTTGGTGCGTTAAATACGCTTGAAAAGTCACGAAAATAAATGCCCATACATTTCCCGTCTTCCCCTCATCACAGATGCCAGCTGAATATTAAAGTCACAGCGGTTTGATGTCATACGACGTCATTCCTCTGAATACTGAATTTGTAAAAAGGAATGCGCATCAAGGTAAACTGTACATTTTTTTCCGACAGACTTGCGGACAAAAGTTTTGCTCACAGAAGTTTTGCACCCAGCGGTTCACATCTGGAGCTCATCCACGCGGTGACAGCTTATCTGTACAGCTGCTGCAAAACATTTGCGATGCTTGTTTCATTCCGTGCAGATGTTCCTAAAGTATGTAGTAACTTACTTGCCTTGAATACCTTGAATATATATATATATATTGTTCAGTATGCTGAATATGCTGTAGGCAGATATAACAAAAATTAAATTAATTACAATTAAGCAATATCCTGTCTGTGTCTGGGTCATAGAGATGCCTTAATATAACGCAGCTTTACAGTCATTATCATTACTGACTTTACTAAAACCAGGAAATGATGAAAAACTAAGAGTCAGTATATCACAGAAGCCAAATTAATTCCAAAAACAATTCAACTTTATAAGGTCAACATAAATGTAGCGCCCTGTAAAATTTCACACATGACTTGCGTGCTGCATACCAATACATTTTTTTTATTGCAGTGCCCTAAAGTTATGTTGATGTCGTTTGAAGCTGGCTGCTATTTAGTTGAATCACGTGATGTCATTACTCACGGGTGGTCTATAGTTCTCATTAGCTCCATGGGTTTTTCC